TTCTTCATTTAATAGAGTAAATTGTGACAAATTGATTGTTAAATCAAACAGGTGAAACAGCATGCAAATTATAATTGTTAGTTAGTGCAGTTCTACTGGCTGATGCAAGAGATACAAAAATAATAACAAATCATTTCATGCGTATCAGTATCAGGATGTTTGCCAGAACTGGCAGAACTAACTGATGATCAGGAGCATCCAGTGAAGAAAATGTAATTCCAGAGAAGCTAGATGAATTCCTTGCATTGATTCCTCCCCCTATGAAAGAAACTGAGTAGATCTCAACGCTATAGTCTTCTCCAGGGAAGACTCATCGGAGGATCTGCTGAAAACCAAAGTGATCACAAACTTCTAAAGAAAAAACTGATGAAACAAACAGTGACAAATCACCAGGAAGGGATAATCACTCAAGAGTTCTAACTCATCAACTAAACAGATTAATGACTAACAGTGATGAGCAACCTCTCACTCAAAACTGCCTTGATGTCTCAGAACTGGAAAGGTAACAAACATGAAATCAACTATTAGAAAGGGATCCAAGAGATTCAAGTCTGATGTCTATACCAGATGAATTTGAAGAAACCTTTGAAAAGAACAATCAATTAGTGAACAGTCGGATACATGCAATCAGTTTTAAGACTCCTGAGTCCTGACACCCAATTCTTGAGCTCTTTGAAGGGATCAACAGATATAAAGGAGACCCACTTGACAGAACCTACTTCGCTTTCCAGAAAACTTCTGACTAGGTCCCTCACCAAAATCTTAGTGAAACTAAGTAGTCATACCATGAGGGGAATTTTCTGTACCAATAAATGTTCAGAGGATGGGAAACAATAAATTGATGGTTCCTGCAATTGCAGAGCACCATCAGAATTCCACCCAATTTTGTGATGGGACCTGTTTTGTTCAACATATTCATAAAAAAACACTGAAAAGTGGGTGACAGCAGTGATACAGTAGATTTTGTTGATGACAGTAAGATATTCAAAATGGAAAAGACAAAGGCTGAATGAAGAGCATAAACTGGTAATAGAATAACAGACAAAATTCAAACGCGGATAAAAGTGAAACAAAACAAGACAAAATTACAGCCTTTGAACCAACCATAACCACCTGGAGGGAGATGTTTTGGATTCTCCTCAGAGTTGTAGTACTCACAGAAGGTCAAAAAAACAAATCAAATTTTTAGCTTCACTGAGAAACAAATTTATGCAAGCATGGAAATCTATCATCTAGTCATATCTGAACAGTTACTTCTAGTTCCCTCATCTCAAAAAAGATACAGGACTAAAGATTGTAAAAAGCTCAGAGAAACACTACATGGATGCACAACAGTATGGAATCTATATCAGAAATCACTAAGCAAGCAAGGACTCTTAAACAAGGAATTTTTAGCATGGAAAAGAGGGAACTCAAAGACTGTATGAAAAGTCAAAAAAGTTAGAAGTAGCATGGAACGAATGACCAGGGATTAAATTTTCCTCAGCTTTTCAAAACAAGAAGCACAAGGTATCAAATAAAGATAGTAAAAACCAAATTCAAAACAAATTCAAAAAAATTATTTGTTCAAAAGTTAGTTAGTACAGCAACTCCTCACCAGTGGATGCTGAGGAATTTAGAAGTTTGTGTGTGATATATAGTTTCATAACAATTTCTGCAGGGATGACTAGAACTTTGTGGAAAAGACCACCACTGAATTTTGTTTTGAACAAGAGAACCACATCTGGCTAAGGAACTTTCCAATCTGGGAAGAGCTGGAAGTTTGGAAAGTTTGTAAGGGTAGTACTGTACAGTCTTGTTCTGGTTTTGCTGTCCTCTGGACATCTGATTTTCACCACTGTTTAGCATAGATACTAGGCTGGATGAACCTTTCATGAGACTCAGTGTGATTATTGTTTTACTTAGCAGGCAATTGCTGCATCTAGTAATGGCAGATGCTTCACAAATGTTTTCTAATTAGAAAGAGTAGGCCAAACTGAAGTATAAAGAGACTCTTCTTCACTGAAAATACAAGATCCCTTCCATGCAAATTTTAGCATCACCCTGCATTTGTGCACTTAAGAATGAAAACAAACTCTTAATTGTGTTCTGACAGAAGATAACACAAGTGTTGGCAGGCCTCCAAAGGCCACCTAAGCTCAGGCAGTGTCTGGCCTACTGACAGAAGCTACTGCCCTGGTTAGGTAATCCTCCTGTTCCAAAAGCACGGCCTCTTCATGACTTATATCATCAACCATAAACTGAGAACACTAAACTTTATTTAGCTTATCTGAAAAGCGTACGGATGATAATGATCTGGGTAAGGGGAACAGCACCTTGTTCAAAAATTCCTGGAGATGGGCAAAACACCAGACTACAAAGCAGAGTAGAAAGTGAAGCATGCAAAACTCAGTCTACAACATAGATGCTCTCTCTACAAGAAAACTTCGGATAGGCTTTCATGGCATCTGGCAACCACCAAGGACTTTTTTATTACTTCACACAAGTAAGCTCCAAACTGACCACAAGTTGGTCCAACAGAACATACATTTCAGATGCCCAGAAAAGCAGTGCCAAACTCCCGAGTGCTACCTTGCAGATCCAGTTTATTCAATCCTCAGTACTTCTCTCCCTACCTAATATTATGACACATGGAATTAAGCAAGTCCTGCCATCTCAATTTCAAAGTCTTTCTCACAGAGATAAATTCCTTCTCTCCCACTCCTTCTGCCTCCTTTACTCAAGAGAGAGCATTGGCTGAACAAAAAATTAAAAAGACTTGGAACTGCAGCATGGTGAGAAGAACAGAGACTATTTGGGTGGCAGCTGTGGAATTCAGTGTATGGTGTGGGAGCAAGTCATTAGTCCCATTTCCAGTGCTCACATTTTTGTTTTCACAATATTTAATGTTTATTTTTAAAGTCACAGCACTTGAGAAGTTTTTTGGTGTTTTTTCCTAGCTGTCATGATTGCCAGTAAATAAAAAACATGAACTTTGCAACCTTAAAATTCAAAACACACACACTTCCTCTTTCTTAACATATCAGTTTTCAGTCCTAAGGATTTTGAATGGTTTGAGTTAATAACGCTGATTTATTCTCCTCTTTACTTCTTCCCACAGCAAACAATTTTACCCACACTGCTGTTAGCTGTTTACTTTTCAACAGACACCACCTCATCCTATAACTCACTAGCTGTCAGCATTTTACAGGATTAGCAGTGCCAACTGTACCCCGGGAAAAGCACTCATGCTTCTCACAGCTCAAGTGTTTATTACACAGTACAGAAAAAAAATGGTGCCTTACCCACAGCCCTCTTCTTGATGCTGCAGGGTTTCACTAAGCTGACAAATGGCAATTGCATGCTTGATTAAAAACTCTAGTTAAGAAATAACTATTCTGAAGAAATTGCAAACATAATCACCATAATATAATAACTACATTGTTCTAATATACAAGTTCTTTTTTCTCTAATTTGTATTTTGATAGACAGTTTAATATAAAAACTAAGGCTAATCTTGTGACAAAACTACTTTAGAAAGCAGACAAATGAGAAGCTAAATTCTGACAATTACCTGAAAAAATTTTGAAATTATATATGAGCCTAGAATTCATTATGACACAAAACTATCAAGTCAACATTTCCTTTTAAAATTACAGATGAAGGCTGAAAGGAAGATATTACTCACTTTAAGCTCCTTACTCCCATAGGACCATCATTTGTTGAGATTTTAATACAGTGCTCACAAGGTGCTACAAATCTAGTAAAACATAACATCCTCCAGATTTCTTATATTATTTATGTAGTCCTTTACTGAATGTCTTTATAGACTACACAGTGCAAGAGCAGTCTGAACCCAGAAATACTCAGAAATGCTGCTGAAACGTTAACCAACAGATAAAAGTAATTAATCTTTCTCTCTCTTCCGTATGTACTATCACAGAAAACACAGGCAGGTAAACAGGAAAGGGAGAAATTTTTGTATTTGGCAAAAGAAGGAATAAATTAGTCAGCATAGCTGATATCATTACCTTCATTAACTGTCTTTACAACAGCAGCAAAAAGGACCTTCCAACAATTGGCCACACTTTACTAAACTTGTGTCAAATTGTGTAGGCTAGGCTAGCTAAATGTACTCAAGTCAGTTCAGTTTAGATACTGGAGCAGCTAAGAAAGTTCTTTACTTCTAAAAATAATCTTTATGCTCAATGTTCTGAAACCTCAGTCCACTTGTGAAATATTTATGCTTTACAAAGTTTTCTTCTTAAATCTTACCTGGCAATGCAGCTGTGTAATTTGCCATAAATGGGGCGCAGTGCTGTTACCAACATGGCAATCTTTCAAACTATGATCCTACACCAAGTCCCCAGAGCCTAGTGCTCCAGTAAACATAAGAAAGATCTCTACAGTAGAGCAAGAAAATAGAGAAAGAGAACCTTCAAGTTCTAATGAAGCCGGTAACAAATATACTCATATAATTTTAGCTAGTAGGATGAGGCATTTTAACAAACTCTAAACACGTTTTTCTAGGTGCAAGATTCCAGTGCAGCCTTACAGGTATACGGTTTTCTCTAACAGAAGAGAGACATTCTGATACCTTATGCAGTTACCAAGAAACAAGCTTTCCTCTGCTTTGAAATGGTTTAGCTCTGGAAAATTCACACTCCTTTTGTAGGAGAGGAAGGCAGAAGAAATCCCTAGTTTCCTGCTATCAAATACACAAATAAACTATTTTCTTTTAATAGTTGTTTTTTTTTAAACTAAGAAAAACAATTAAGTATCTAAAAGACATATGCGACCAACAAATAAATGAATCAACTGTCTATCCCCTGTATTGCTTTGAATATTTAATCTAAGTGATTTCATTTCAATTATTTACTACTTAAAATGCCATCAACCACTTAAAATTTTTATTTGGAAAATGCCTAAAAGTAGGTCACTGAAAACAGGCTTACACACAATAATGCACAGACACATCAGAGGATTAATATATAAAAATGGAGAGATGAAAAAAAACTGACCTGCTGCTTCTGGTGTTTGTTTAGTAGGGCTAAAAATAAGATGTAACATCTGGAGCAGTCCGCTAAAGCTGCACAGAAGTCATTGTACGAAGAAAGTTTGCTACAAAGATACAAAAATAACATACAAATGAATGAAAGCACTTTTTTTCCCACAAAAGATTAAAAAAAAAAAAAAATCACTCTGCTTTTGACTCTCAGAGCTCTGTTTTCCAACATGTCAAATGAATGCCAATACTCTGATTTCTAATAGGGGCACATGCAGTTATATAAGAGTGTGAATAATGGAAACAAATAAATATAAGGAGCTTCCCAACCTGCCTGTCACTATGACACAACAAGCTCGTAGTAGAACCGTAAGCTTAAGGTGAAATGGGAAGTCAGACTCCCTTCCTAACATATGGTAATAGATGCTTGCAACAGCACCAACAGAGCATGTCTGTCACTACCAAACATAGAAATCAGATATTTTTGCAGTCACAATATTATCTCTGCATTTTCCCTAACTGCTCCAGTCTTACATTGCTCATTTTTATCATTACAAAAAATAGAATCAGACATGCTTTGGTCATATTAGAAATACTGCAGTTACTATGGTAATGTCTTACTTCCCATGTAGTCAAAACCAGCAAACATCTGTGCTGATGTTCAATTACCAGCAAGACTTATAAACTTGGAGAAATGAAGAATTTGAATAGATTGGAACATATTCTCTTTGGAGAAGCTGTGTAAAAGTTACTGAAAGAAAAAAAGAATAATTATTCTGTATTACTAGGATGCTGAAGAAAATTTAAATCTGTGTTCCATACTGCATAGAACTTTTTTTTTTTTTTTCCTGAGACTGCAATTTCCAGGAAGCTAATTAAATTCATTTTGTGGCAAATTTTTATCTTCAGAACCTGCAGTTCACTGAACATAAGAAGAAGAAAAAAACAAAAACTGAAGCAGCAGGAAACTTTAAATAAGACAAATTACTTTTGCTCCACATTGAATTCTAGATCAAGTAAATGTCCTTGTCAGAATTACAGTCCAATTACAAAACCATTGCCTAACCAGCTTCAATTTCCATGGCATTTTACCAAGTAAAAGAAATGTTCTCTCCCTAGAAGGAAATATGCTGAAAGTGCTGGGATCCCTGCTAGAATTCTACTCATTTTTAGTAGCAAATTTAGAAACATAAGTGGACAAAGTGGCAGGGGGTTGGGGAGACAACTCACAGTATCACAGAATGGTCTAGGTTGAAAGGGACCTTAAAGCTCATCCAATGCCAATCCACTGCCAAGGGCTGCCCAGGGCTCCATTCCGCCTGGGCTTGAATGTAAATGCTACCAGGGATGGGGTATCCACAGATTCTCTGAGCAGCACTGTTCTAGTGCCTCAACACTTCAAGTAAAAAATTTCCTCCTAATGCCTAACTTTAACTTCCCCTTAGATTGAAATCTCCTTGTCCTATCATGTCTCCCTCCTGTTTATAAACTCCCTTTAAGTATGCAAAGTTCATCTGAACACTTTACAGGGAGCATACATGACATCAGACCTAACTTGCTTTTACCTGTGAATAGGAAGGAATGAGAGACCCTTACATAGCTGCTCTTCAATGTGCAGCTCAATCTCATCTATCAAGGAGAATGCAATAGATGATTTGGAGGAACTGAACAAGAGGAAGATTCCATAGCTGGACGGCTTCTCAATGCACATAGTTTCATAGGCAACAGGACTCATGTAGGTAGTAAAGCAGCAATGGCAAATATTTCAACCAGAATGGCACTCATAAATTGTGTTTATAATCCAACTTCTCCTTAAATAAATAAACAACTAATTCCACTATTTGTACAAAATCCTCAGACTGTTCAAGTCCAAGTCCATTTAGCACTGGGTATTGCAAGTTTGTGCTTGGTAAGTGGGAGCTTTTCAACTTCAGATTACAAAAGAAACTTATGGAGTGATTCACTCATCCCAATTTTCCTCTAAAAAGCACATGCTGGGAAGAAGCCTCTGAGCTGCTCATAAAACAGATTCTTTCAGCACTTCCATCTGCACACTCAAGTCTTGATCCTACAGATTAATCTCAAACATTCTGTAAAAAGTTCAAAATAATGAACATGGATCACATTTTCTCCCTTGTGAATTTTATACTACATAGACCTCCTAAAAAACATGGCCTAAAATAGGATTCGTATCTAATCATTTATGCAGTTCTAATATTTAAGAAATGGTACTTTAAAAATCGGAATCTGTGTGAATAAAGAGTGACACAATGCAACAAAACATTTTTACCAGGGACGATGACTCCAAGTTGTATGCCTGCAATAAAACAATTCTATTGCTATTAATAAAGACATCATTATCATATGAAATCAATCAAACTTAATCCAATGAATGCGAATAAATTTTCCAATTTTAGCATTTGATCCTGCTCTCATTGAGGTCACTTGATGCAGAAACACTGACTTGATTGCAAGCTGAAGTCAACAACTGCATTCACTACACACCTGAAAATTCTGACAATGTAGGTGCACACATCCTTGTCAATCATATGTTGCTCCAGTGCCACACAGAACTCATAGACAGCACCACTGCAAATGAGCTGGCATCTTGTCTGAGGTAAGTCAGCCAAGTTTCGTAAAGTAGCTGTTAGCTGCACATAGAATATTTAAAGATTCATTAACCATGGCTATTTACTACAGAATCCATACTGTTTTGAAAATGTAATAAAGCTCAGGTCTCAGTCTGAATATCCTGTTAGCATCCTGCAGGTATGTATTTATCAGTAACTCTTAACAGAAACACGTAAGTAAAAAAATAGTGCATATTAAAATAAATGTTTGAAAATGAAAGATTGATACCGGTCTTTGCCTGCATGCAAACTCTTCCTGTGAGGAAAACATCATCTTCCACTTATTTTAAAATCTTCTATTCATGAATATGATCACATAGCAACCGAAAATTAAGTGAAATGCTATGGATAGTTTAAGTGATATTTTGTATAAGATGATCAGAGGGCTGGAGCACTCTCCTATAAGGAAAGGTTGAGGGAACTGGGCTTGTTTAGCTTGGAGAAGAGCAGGCTCCAGAGAGACCTCATTGCGACCTTCCAGCTCTTGAAGGGAGTGTATAAACAAGAGGGGGAATGGCTGTTTATAAGGGCGGACAGTGATAGGACAAGGGGGAATGGTTTTAAACCGAGACACAGGAGGTTTAGGTTAGATATTAGGAGGAAGTTTTTCACACAGAGGGTGGTGACGCACTGGCACAGGTTGCCCAAGGAGGCTGTGGATGCCCCATCCCTGGAGGCATTCAAGACCAGGTTGGATGTGGCTCTGGGCAGCCTGGTCTGGTGGTTGGCGACCCTGCATGTAGCAGGGGGTTGAAACCAGATAATCATTGTGGTCCTTTTCAACCCAGGCCATTCTATGATTGTATTATTCTGATCTTGTAAATTTACATCTAAGTCTTGTAAATTATTGACATCTAACACATATTTTGTTAACTGTGAGTTATAAACAATGATGAACTGATTTTAAAAGGCAATATAATTTATTCACTTTGATTAACACATTTCAAAGTTAACCTAGATCAGGAGAAATCTAGCGTACAATCAGTATAGAAAATGAAAAGCTGAGGTCCAAGTTTATTCTGGAGAAATCAAAGTTTTTTCAGAAGATACTGCTCTATTTCAAGGAGTTTCAAACAGGAAATATTCTATCACCTATACATATATACAATGAATCAGCTGCTGTGTATTTTGAGATGCTCTGGTTCTCTTCCATAACAAGGGTATTCAAGTACCAATGTCAAACAAGCAATGACAGGTAAGTTAACAGTAAATCAAAACCAGAAACAACAAAATTAAAGTCAGGCCAAGATTAAGTGTTCCAATTGTTCATAATCACATAAAACTTGAAATGAAATATATCACTGAACTGCAGTGATTGTCTGGTGAGAAGTAATTCATCATTTTATAGAAAAATCTGTCAAAGAGCAGGTTACATCGTTGCTTTTGAGCAGCTTTTGCTCAGAGGGTACTAAGCACAACACTACCATTTTCCAACTACTTTTAAATTTTCTGTCCAATTTCAATACATTTGATGAAAAATGCATGTCTGCAATCACTACAAGTTTTAGGAAACAACAACCAACTGTATAGACTGCACAGAAAATGCGAAAGAGCTCAAGGGCTGCTAGAAGTAGCTGAAGTACTGCTTGCTCAGGCATGTAAGAAGTTAATTTGTTCAAAAACAGACTTCAGTGATCGATGCATATAAAATACTTTACTCCCTTCAAATCTTATGGGCCATTTATTTTTATTAGCACAGGACAAAAATCAAGGTAATAAACTATCAAACTCCACAAAGATACACAGTAATTACTTCTGTTAAGGGACCATTTTTGAATCTCTAGATTTGCAATGCAAAAGTGAAAGACCACCTCAAGTAATTAATAAAAAAGGGCAAATCTACAACAACTCAGACCAAAGCTGAAAGCCTTGTGGAAAAGAAAAACATAAGAACTGAAAAGACTTAGAAACAGACCCACACATCTGCAGTGAGAATGACTCTCTAAACCTAGCATGAAAGGTCTCTACAAAAATCAACATATTGTAACCATCCATCCACTATGTTCCAGTCCTGCTGTTTAACTACCAGTGCCTTTATCTACACTAGATCCACAATGGCAGCACAAATTCTGTAAGTTTTACTGTCTCAGCTCAAGTATCAAGAACAACTTTGCACTTCTTCCTTTACTCAGCAGTTACTTTGTTATTATTTTATTAGAGCAGTTCCTTTAGTTTCTAATGGAGTAATTCTTGATTTTTGCTATTTAAATGAAAAAAAAACCATCATTTTATCACCAATCTCCAAATACAGCATTCCTAAAATTTTACAAATATCCAGAAATATCCTGAGATTATTTGTCATATGAACTTCCATATGTTCCCAAACCATCTGAAATCAGACAGCCTCAGAATTACTGCTTATGGAAAGCCCTGTTTTCAAAGAGCATTAGTAACATTTTCCAACCACACTGCCTCACTCATTTCTTGATATTACAAAAAAAAAATTTTTTTTTACGTTGCCTTTTTGCATTTACAAAGCCTAATATCTTGATGCACCTAAACTATCAAGAATTTTACTATTAGTGACCAGTATCACGCAGTCTCTGCATGGCCCAGGAGTAAACTCTACTAAATATATGAAAAACACAATAGTAAGTATATGCGTAAAGTTACTGAAAACGTACTCTCATTTCCCCTAACACTTGATCAGGGAAGCTCAGACAGAACTATAAAACTATCTTAGAAAGAACAGAAAAGGCCAGTCTGAAACAACAGCTCCACAGACAAATGGTGCAGGTAACACAAAAACAACAGCTAGCATATAAGTGAAATACGAAGATAACAAAGCACAAAATAACAAAAGCCAGCCAAAGAAATTCAAGAACTATTCTAATTCCTTCAAGCAGACAACATGATTCATGGAGAAATGTGAAACAACTTACTCTAGCAAACCCCACCAGCTCTAATTCTCATGTTGCCACGTGAAAAATCAAATACATGAAAACTGGAAATTTAACAGCAGATAAATGCTATTTTTAAAAGGGAAAGACATTTTAAAGGGAAAGACATTTAATTGCTTTTCAATTAAGGAACACAGAGTACTTGTTAAGTCTTGTCAGTGAAACTTCAAAAGCTTTGGCTTTTGAATAAGCATTACCATAATTCATAGGAATATGATCAGCTGCAGCAACATGAGTCAGAGACTGTCTTGGTTTCTTGCCTTCTATTAAGGAAAAATACATATTATTACAAACATTTTTTATTTTTGTATTCTGGAACTTCTGCTTAATAAATACTTTGTTAAGAATGAAGACATCTGAGGGAAAGTTTATTCCCATAAAAACAAGCTGGCAAGATTATGTATAACACTGCCATCTGGTGATTGTGCAATTATACAGTTAAAGAATGAAGGGTCAGTCCCGTTTAACTGAAATACTTGAGTTTTCAGGATTTAGAGCCAGCAGAGACTCCCTCAGAGATCATTGTGAATATTTAGCATTCTTTTCTTCTCCAATGTAATTGTCCTCCATTCCTGAAAATCTATGTTTGCTCATTATTTCTGTGCAACACTGCATATTTGATCTTTTGCTAGAAGTTAAGTACAGCCCAAAGTTTTCTTTATTCTCAAGATGCGATCATTGAAGAAGAGGTCTTCGATACTACATCCCTGAAAATGGAGCTGTTCTTGTATTTATTACAGTGATGAACATTTAATTGACACAGAATAAATTGTGCACTTTTACGTACACGTGTTAAAGAAAATGGCATGAGAAAGTCACAGAGGAATTCCATAGCAGCAGGAATCACTGTGCTACTACAGAAGAGATAGAGAAGAAAGGAAGAAAAGGCAATCCTGCAAAGTTGCAGGGAAATTCAGACAGCAGGTCAACCAGCTGAAAACACTGATTCATTTGTTTCATTAATTTGCAGTTTGCAAACTCACCCAGTCTGTTTATGTTTATATAAAGATTATACACGCTTATGGAGAGACATTGCTCCACTAAAACAAACAAAAATCAGTAAGAGTAAGGTGATGGTATAAGCTCTTCTTTTTCTCATCTAATTTCAAGTACCAAATCCCATGTTTGTAAGTGGCTATGCTAAATGACAGATTTCTCTAAACATTGTTTCAGAAAACCATCTAATCCATTTCCCTGTGAAGGGCCAGTAGCTCAGTTATCCCACTGGCTAATCTTTACCTCATACTTTACAAATCCAGTTGGCAAATTTTCAATAAATACATAAAAAACCCACAAGCTATGCATAACTTAAGATGTACTTACCAATTCATTTTATTTTTATTTTTTTTCTAAAACACCTCAGTTTAAACAGTTCAGAGCAAAGGACTATTCTTTATAGTCATCACTCACTAAGATTACCTTATCAGAAATTTTGAGTCTGCTGCCTTCAAAAAAGTTGTTCTACTGTTGGCTTTTATATTATTGGCCTTTTCCTTAAATTCTATTTCTGGAAAAAAGCACTTTGTCAAACCAATGAAGATGTGTTTTCCTACACTTTTTTTTTAATGCATTTTTCTTGTAATAAAAGCTTTTTTTTTTTTTTTTTTTTTTTCCTAATCTTCTAGGGCATAGCAGAATACATTTGTATTTATTACTACAATTTAAAGAATTTACAAGGGAACATATTTATTTACTGCAAGATCCAGAATAATGTCAGCATCATACTGTAATAATCAGAAATTTAATTAAATGCCTAAAAATATTTCTATTTATTCAGAATGTCCAAAGCCAGTAAAATTAACTACTGAAAATATGTGCAATAATTCAGTTTTGGTGCTGAACAACTTAATGTAAACTTGTTAAAAATAATTCTATTCAAATGCAGGCACAACTCTTGTCAGTGGTGCACAAGGTTAGCTTATCTCCTCTGATTAAGTTTTTTATTTCCCTGTGAAATGTTTACTTTTAGAAATGAAAGTAAATGCTAACCTGGACTAATAGGTGGCTCAAGCTGGAGAAATGTGAGTCATTTTCTTTTATGTTATTAATCTGCTTCATTAACTGCAGCAACATTTCGACAGCTCCTTTGTTGACCATTTCATTAAGGAGCACTGCATTTCCAGACATAAATTTTATAGCTCCCAAGCAATACAGGATAGCTTCATTGTTCTTCTGTAGATCTTCAGTTCTCAGGACCTCCAGTAAACAATCTAAAACAAAAATTGTTAATTTTAGGCTTTCTGAATAATAATAATTTAATGTTTTATATAGTTCAGTCAACAAAGATTAACAACTGAAAAAAAAAAACCCTCTTATTGAAATCCTTCTATACTTTTCCAATAAATGGGCTAGAAAAATTGGGTATTTGGATCAATACCAAGGAACAATTATTGATGAATAACAGAAAAGGCCTAAGTTCTTTCTCTGCAGACTTGAAGAACCAGCATTGGTTGTAAACACACTGTGGTAATCATTAAACTCTTCATTCAAGATTTGAAAAAGTATCTATGCCTGGAATTTTGTGTATGACACTTTAAACATTCCAAGGGGTTTATTCTTTTTACTTGCTGAAAAATCAAATGTGTTAAAGACTCTCACATGGAGCATTAAAAAGCACAGATGAGCAATTCAAATCTCACACTTGAAGTCTGTCCATAGAATCCTTAGCTTTACTCTCTATACTGATAAAGTTACTGTGTACTTTTGCCTTATGACAGCACTGTCAGACACCTGAAATGTTAAATGAACACTTGTTAGTACAAACCTAGTCTATTTTTTCAAATAGAGATATTCTGAATTTGGCAGGTGTATTTTAAATAAGCAAATCTAGCCAATATCATATTTTTGAATTTCTTGTAACTGACTGAAAGCTACATATACTTCTTCCTATGTTCCATCCACTTGAATAGAAATATTTTCACACCTTATTTGAGATCAGAGATTTCTGAAGTTTTTCTCTCTGCATTGGGTTAACATGGCAAGTTTTCAGTAGCAGAGATGCTGCAGGAATGGCCTGTGTAGGCAAAACCCAGCACTGCCCCATGTCAGATCTGAGCCAGCTCCAGTTTCTCCAAAAAAGGAACCACTGCTGCCAAATCTGAGCCATGAGTGAGGCTGGGTGCGTCTCAAGGAGAACAGATTGAAGAAAAACTGCTGTGTGACAGCAGATGGGAGAGAGGAGAATGTGAGAGAAACAGTCCTGCAGACACCAAGGTCAGTGCAGTGGGGCAGGAGGTGCTCCACGCATGAAAATTAAGTTTCCAGGAGAGGCCTATGGAGGACCAGCCTGTCCCTGTGCAGCCCATGGGCACTGTGCAGAGCAGGTCTCCACATGCAGCCACATGGAGGAACTCGAGGAGCAGGGGCAGAGGGTGACCATGAAGGAGTGAAAGAAACCCAGTTATGAATTGCTCCATTCCCCTGTGCTACTCAGGGGCAGGAGGTAGAAGACAGTGGATGTTTCAACATCTAAGATATAAATAATAAGAAAATACCTACCTAGTAATGTATCATTTTGAATGAGGTAGTCATTTTTTCCATTCCTGCAAACTTTAAACGCAAGCTTGCAGGCTCCGAGAAGATTTTTTCCATCCACTTTCATCTGCAAGAAAAAAGTCATAAGAATTATAAGAACTACAACTAATACATACATACTAGTTCAGACACTGCATTCTCACAGTAAAACTCTTAAAATCCAGCTAAAACCATGATAGGATACACAGCCACACTGAAAAGTTTGCAAAAAAGGCACTAGCTAGCTTAAGCTCTCTTCAGCAAATTGTGGAGACTGACTTTGAAATAACAGATTATATATAAGCTTTTCATGTATTTTCTGCAGGTAGTATGATTGTACATCTTTTTTTCTAATTCACTCCTCTAAAGAAATTGCACACAGGATTCACTGGTTCTGCATCTATGGCCATATAACAAAGAAATCCAGTGCAACAATATATTTTGTAACCAAAGTTATTCTCAGGTATCAGAAAAGATCTTACAACATTCTAAAGGTTACTGAAAGAAAGGAAAGCAAGAGTTAGATCTGTAATGACAATCTCTTTCCTGTCTCTGCTTTTGAAGGGCAAATTCCTGCTGCTCAGGATTTTTTAAAGATGGAAAAAGGAAAGATGGAAAAAATGAAGGAAAAAATGTTTATAACAGAACATTTCTTTCAAGCACCAAGTAACACCTATGCAGTATCTGAATATATATCTTTTGATAAAAATAATGTATATCAACTTAAAGAAGAGAATTACTAATATGTCTACAACGCAATGCCAGGTGGTATCACTTCAGTAGTGACAGTCCACATATACTTAATAGAAGTTGAACTAGAAAGATTAAGAGCACCAACTTAAGTGAGAGTTCTAACCAGCAATATTAGGAAATATTGCCAGCGTTTTATGTTAAATCTTAAAACACATCAACATTTTGACTAAATTCAGTTCTTAAAAATTCTCAGTCAGCACAGATGTACTAATTCCTAAGGTAAATCATACGCCTGAAACTATATAGATTATTAAAGATTCTACATATAATCTTTCATAAAAATCAGACAAATAATCAAATGCAGATTGCTATTGAGGGAGAAAAAACAGTCTGTATGGGGTGAAAGGACAGCTCCTAAGGAAATGCATATGTTTAAGCAAGATCACACTATGTAACATAAGCTAAAGCTAAGCACTGATTTCAGCATTTTTTCATAATTTTAAGCCCCTAGTCTATTGATTATACACAAAAACATAGCATCATTGAGATTTCAATGTATAGTGTTGATGCTAAGACTAAGTAACTGTCCTGCTCCTCATAGAAATATTGTGATTCTGTAAATCACAAATCTATAAAAAGAAAAGGAATCTTAAACAGAATGGAATAATGCAGAAAAATATATTACCATCAGTTTCTCAAGTACAACAACATTAATGGAACTACTGGGACGTGGCACCACGGTGACTCACCTTACCATGAATGAAAAATAGATAAAGCTTTTAGAAGCACACACCTGTTGTGTCACACTTAAATCAGAGATGACTTGTCACCACACTGACATTGCTAGCAACAAAAATGATGAATTCAAAACAATCACTTACCAAACCACTGACTCACATCAGTGCACATCTATAAAACTGAGCACTTGTCTACTTCAAATTCTACTAATAATTCAGTCTTACCTTTATATTACTTCTGATTTTATACCTTAGTTTTAGCATAAATTACTTATTTCAATCCCAATACATCTCTCTTAAAAAAAAAAAATAATAATAATCACTTGACTGTGCCTTTGGATACATCCCATTCCTTCTGTTGTTTTTTGTTTGTTTGTTTTTGTTGATTTTTTTTTAATGAAAATTGCTAGCTCTATCTTAAAATCTTATTTTAAGGCATTTACAGTTCTCACAATCAAACTCTGTGCCTCCAATGAGAATCTAAGTCTACCCTAGATATCTTACGCTAGTGCACAGTTCCAAAGTGATGTTGGAAAAACAGTTTATTTCCCTTCTTTTCAAAAATAATTGGAGAGAGTTAGCATGCAACTTTCTTCATTCTACTCCACATCAGACAAACTTGATGGTCTCTATCAAATGTGATTTTCAGATCTCTAACTATTTAAGACATACTTGCAGGCTTCTATTCATTATGTACTTTAAATGACTTCTCTTTGGATAGAATTTTCCAGCTTATGTTCATCTCCCTTAATTATCAGCTACATTTAGACCATGTTTCCCTAGCTTGCTTATACAGATATCATACAAAATGATAACAAAAACCTTAGAAGTGTAATTTAACATGAGGGCTGCCACTAATATTATCTGACCTTGGAAAATGTCCTTGGCTGTTCCAGCTTTCACAAAGAAAGGGACAATTATAATTACTTATTTAAAAAAAAAAAAAAAGTTTTAATATTTTCAGATAAATGTGTTTGAAGTCAATATATTCAAAACTATTCAAAACTAAACTTTAATTTCAGACCTAACTTTTTAAATTGTTTCTAAAATCCCAGTATATGTATCTCAGCTTAGGACACCATCTCTTTTCCATGCAAAAGAAATAGGCCAGCCACGGTACACCAACTACCATACTTTGAGTCCCTATTTCCTTACCCAGATGCAATTTCTCTGCAAAATATAGGCTCCAACAGGTGCCCATCTGAATGAATGGGCGTATTTGTAAGGCAAGAAAACACAATTAGCAAATTGTTAGTTTAAACACCTTTTAGAAGGATGAAATGAAAAGATAGATATAAACTGTAGTTCACAGGCTTAAGCTTCACGTTCTACCAAATAGCATTTTGAAAAACTTACAGACAGAATAATCTTTGCCAGCTTCAGGCAAAGTGGATCTGAATCAATTTCTACAAGTTTATATAATGTCTTCAGAAGCATACTTCTTCCTTTAAATCTTTTTCCAAGCATATTTCCTTCATTCAAGACTTGATAGAGTTTGGTGCAAGCCAAACAAAGACTTTCTACGTTGTCTTCTAATTGAAGGGAGAAGGAAAGGAAAGAAAAAATGCAAAATAATAATCATTGTCATCTTTTCCAGAGCATCTTAATAGACATAAACACAGGAGAACAGAATAAAAAATGCGTTGCATAAGAACAAAAAGTAAGGCAAGCAACAGATCTTCAAAGATGATAATGCAGTTCTTAGAAACAATTATATGTTGGCCTTTCAAAAAGAAAAGGGGCCAAAAATATGATTTTCTTTAGTTCCAATTGTTTCACAGGAAGGACATAATTAGATTTTACCTCTGAATAATATTTTGCTTACCTATAAAGAACATGTCACTATGAAAAAGTTTAATTCAGCGACTCCCATTTCACAGTAACAGCATTAAGCAAGGAAAGGGTGAATTGCACAGCTGTTTTCAAGTTCTCTGACAGCTGCCTTTTCTACACATCAGTTACAGGTGACGGAATCCTGCCTTTTTAAAATAACAATATAGTTTGGGAATCACTCAGAACTGTACAAGTGTTCCAGACTTATCTACATCTGCAAAATTATAAAAAATAAAAAAATAAAAAAAAAAATCTAATCTGTAGCATACTATAATGAATGCTGCTCAAGATACTGTAAAGTAGAATCAAACCCTTTATTCAACATTTACATTTAACTACTTGTAAAAACAAAACTAGTTCTATATTCTACATAATGTTTATACAGGGCAACTGAAAAAAACTTTTAAATAAAGATGGATTTCAGGGTTAAATCTTCCAAGCCTTATTTAATTTACTCAATTTTGTTTCAGTATTCTGGGTCACTGTACACTTTTCTGAGTCATCTAACACTTTAAGTACAAGGGGAAATTTTCAGTGAGACTTCCTCATTTTTCTAAACTTAGTTTAGACTTCCAATACTGCCCACGCTTAAAATAGTGAATCTATGAAGTACTTTATTTTTATAACTATTACCTCATCACTGACTGTTCAATTGGTAGAGCTATGGCCTCTAAAACAAGCTAATTTCATTAGACAAGATGTTCTCTTAGCCAGTGTTTTTTATTTTACACTGCTAAGTCACTGAACATATTAAAGCATAAATGACTACATAGTTCAACTACAGTTATTCTTCTGTAAATGAATAAATGAGTCTTGTGTTTCCTTCAGGAAGTAAAACAGAAAATACATACTTTCAAGAACAGTGTTACCCACCGCTTTCCAGTTCCTGTAGAATTGGTAGAACCTTCACATGCCAAAAGCTTTTTTCCTCTTCCAGTTCATCTATTCTCATATCATCCTCTAATCCTTCAAAATACATTCAAAACAGAAGCACATATTCAATGAAGATTTCAACTTCTACACAAATAAATAATTACAAACACTTCATTCATCACTCATGGAAAAAAAAAAAAGAAAGCAAGCTAAAAATGTCTGATTTTGCTATACTCTGGGTTATTCTACCAATTCAAGCTTTTTTTGTTGTTGTTCACAATTCCTCAAAAACAAGAGTTCTGCACAAAATTAGATGGAGAAATGTTTTGATATATAAAGCTGCCCTATAAATCCAGATTTGTTTCTGTTTGCTGACATTAATGTTTCATTTGACTGCTGAACTGGAAGGTAACAACTACATTTACATCACTGTGTTTTTCAGCTTTGTATCCCTGTGATAGCTTATTCTGTGTTAAATACATCCACACTACAGACAATCCTCTAAGTGTAATAATTGTATCTAGTACACATGTACAATATTACACTAAGCTTGATTAGCTGACAGTTTGTTCTAATAGAATCATCGAATGGCCTGGGTTGAAAAGGACCATAATGATCATCTAGTTTCAACCCTCCTTCTATGTCCAGGATTGCCAATCACTAGACCAGACTCAACTGAGAAGTAAGGGACAAATTCTTACTACTTATTACATTCTGTTAGTAACTCTAACCACCTCACACAATCAGTTTTTAAAATCTTCCTAAGTTTAGGTAAAATACATACTTCTCTCTTATTCTTTTGTTACATGTTAGACTGTTTGTAGCACAGTTGGTATTTTGGGAGATAAATAGCAAACTTCAGACATCTGAAATATGCCCTGCCTCCAATAAGCATGACAAAGTTTGAAGTAAAACCATTTCCATTTTTCTTGTCCAACCCCTACCTATGAAATAGTACAAATAAATTATAAGGCTTGTAAATGGAGAAGATAAAGCCTCAAATAGCAAATAGCAAACTCCCACTTTAAGTAAATGGAAGAAGAGCACATCACAGCCTTTGTCAGAATGATCCAGAATCACACATCTGCTGAGTTCTAGTAAAACAGTAATAAAGTAACAGTAAAGTAGAAAACTTCAAGTTGGCATATCAGACTCTCAAATATACACTTGAGATGTATGAAACATGTCAGTTCTCAGAAAATAATATTTAAAATCTGCTCTGTAAAAATCAGCAAAATGCATCCCTATGAGGGAATCCAGACTCTTCAGCTAATATAGTAGGACAAAGCTTTGTTAATTTCCAGGCAGCTATGTCAGCTTACACAAAGTGATAAGTTGATAAAGTGTTAATGGAAACCTCTTGAACGTTGTTCCTGTACACCAACAACACTAAAAATGCAATATATTTAGAAAACCAAATATATTGTTCAGTGAAAAAAAAAAATCTCCAAATCATAATATTTAGATTATATATGTTTGAATGTAGTTCACATCTGAAAAAAAAAAAAAATAATAAAAATAAATAAAAAAAGGAAGTAACAAAGAAAAACAAGGTTTTTGGCTGGAGGTTTGGAGACTGAAATGCTTTATATGAAGTACCTGTTAATCTTCTCTTGAAGTCTATACTCCTTGGCTTTGATGCAACCATGCCATGCTTTTTTATCTGGTTACTAAAAGAAACAACATACATGTACACAGAATGTACATCAGAATACAACACCTACTTCAAATGCAATACAAGATCTGTGTATTGCTAACCAACTGGAAAACATACATTCTTTTTACTACTGTGTTAATTACCTGCTCATTAAAAATGACACATAAAAACAACATTTTCCTGTATGTATTACAGAAAGCTCTTTCAGAAATACTGACTTATTTACACCACAAGAGGTCACCCTTACGGAATACAAACTAACACATTTCCACTTCTACAGTAAGACTGAAAGCTAACCAAACTAAACTCGGAGATTCAATTTTTATCATCAGTATCATTAACTGAATATGAGCTCAATTAATTTGAAACTGCAGGTTTATTCATTCACAAGGACAACTGCTTTTTCTGATATAATTAACACTTCTAGGAAATTTAATTAGAAGAATTTTCAAAGAAACAAACCCTTTGATAAACCTTAATGTAAATTCAGCATGTGAACTGTTTCTAACTGTATAATGGTCACTAGCTTTGTTAGTAAAAGAAACATGCTTTGTTCTATCTCTTTTTTTGTTTGTTTGTTAGTAATACCATAATTCTAGTTGGTTACATCATTAGTCATTGGCCAAATGAAATTACTACATACATCTTTGATAAATGTATTGTTTGTTTGCCTATGCACCCAAGTAACACTGATCTAAATACATTATTAAATATATTATTGATTTACTATTAAAATAGAAATCTTTCCTCCCTTAAGTTATATAGACGAAGACGTTTGTCTTCAGTACATGTTTAATTTAACACTCCTTATTCCATTTATAGTCCACGTACCAATACAACCTAATCCCCTAAATTCCCTTCTAGGGCTAATAGAAGCGTGTTAGCAACATTATTTCTTTCTTTTTTTTTTTTTTTTTTTTTTTTTTTAACCTGTTAACTTAGTTGCTATAAAGCTTAAAGCTAAACTGTTTTTTAAGCGTTTTGCTGGATTGCCCCCTAAATCCTGTCTGCCAGTCCAGACAGAGCTGTAAATCATCCTATCAACAGATGGAGACAGAATAAAACACAAAGCTCGTGTAAGATCACTTCCCTATCAAAGAGACTGGAAAGCTGACTGCTATCAGTCAAAATTTCCCAAGCAATCATATTACAGAGGAACATTCACTTCATTATGGCTAACAGTGAGTCATGCTTTCCTTTAGAGCATGAATATTAAAGTTCTCTAAAATCCAAATGCTTATACAAACTACCCTGAAATTCTTTCATCTCATGCATAGCAGTTCATAGTCAGCTAAGGAAGCAACACATGAAAGATGGAAAAAAAAAATAGACAAGCACTTGCATCCCTAAAACAGACCAACATGTGTAAATACATAGTTTAAGAAACATGGTTCTATAGGACATATTAAATACAATTTACTGTATTAATACAAATCAACACTTGGGTTCATTTACGTGAGTTGTTCTACAAACCTCAGAATTTTCCAAAACAATTCTGAGGTTTTGCTTTCCCTGAAATGAAGACTATAACCTCAGCAAAGGACACCAAATAAGTATGATAATAATAATTACTTCAGTCATCTAGTACAGATATACTCAGAAATCAGAATAACAACAACGATATGCAGGCACGGTGACACTACCTGCCTACATGAATACAGATGTCTAGAGTTTGCTTTCCTCAGAAAAAAGTTATTCTCCTCCCCTAAAACATTAATCCATAGGAAGAATCCAAGAAACTTCAACAGAAACAATCCTACAAGTTTTGTAGGATATAAAATGAGCTGAATAGAAGAGACACTGAAGGAGAGGATGTGATAACCTGAAAAATTATCAGATACAGAGTATACATATGGACAATGCAGGGAAAGACCATATCAAAGTCTGAACTTGGGGGGGGGAGGGGAAGAAAAAAGTTTGGCTGGAACCTGTGTTTTCTTAAACAATAGTACCAATAGGTTTATGGACATAGCATGCGTAAAAAGGAGATTGCTGCACTGCTGGTGTTCATAGAATCACCAAGATTGGAAAAGATCTCCAAGATCAAGTCCAACCATCCACTACCACCTATATTTCCAAACAAAACCATGTCCCTTAGCACTACATCTAAATGTTTCTTGAACATCTCCAGGGACAGTGACTCTACCACTTCCCTGGGCAGCTTGTCTATACTCTTGAGAAATGTCCTCATAAATTAATTAGCTTACCAGGAACTCATTATTTGCAGAAAGAGAATACTCTGAATATATACATAAATGCAAGCAACTAGTGGGCCTGTTCATCTTCAGGGAATATGTACAATTCATGAGTTTTGTGAGAGTATAAAATCTCTTTTATGTATCTTTACCACACTGTCAACTCCATTTTAGTCAGAGACTTTTGCTTCTTTGTTATCTTTCTATTTTCATGTAAGATTGAAACTTAAGTAGCAAGATCTTGTTAAGAACTTTGCAGTTAAAATGTAATCAACCTACTCTAAGAAATAAGTTACCTAATATTGAAGGGAACTGGCTTGTCAAGAGAGTGGTTGCCTTGGAAACAAAGTCAATTGGCAGAAATCTGATCAGCTGAGAAGGGACTCATCAAGAAAATCAACTGACAGACTCTGATGATTTACAGAAGAGAAATAACTTGACAACTGGTTCATCTCTATCCCTCTCATACAAAGAACATTGCTTTCTTGAATGTACTCAGACTATGATGACTTCCAAAAAGAACATGAGCCAGAACTGCAGCAGTGGTATTTTTCCTGTGCAGAACAATATATACTGAATTGAAAGCAGCGTTCATTCAGAAACTACACTTATACATTTGCATGCTCTAACTATGATCCTCTGTTAATGGCACTCCAGGAAACACGTTTCTAATAACTGCATCCTGGAGGCAAAGAATTAGGCTACCTCTCTCTAAAGATGCTGCTTATGTCAGCAAAGTCTGGCTCACAAATGTAAATGTAAGGGTCCAACAAAGAAACAGTGCTTGATTTCCTTCCTCATACCGTGGGACCTTATATGTCTCAGAAACTGGTTGCCTCTTTGCTTGTAAAACAAAGGAGTCTGACAACGGGTCTGAGGTTTGGGACACAGCTCTCCATACAGTTAAACCATTAGCATAGCCTCTGTGGTGGTTTTGGCCCAAGAGAGGTAGCACTCTCCTTGACAAAGGCCTTGACGTGGAGGAGAGATAAGCAGGGACAGGGACATTACCAGCTGGTACTTTACATGGGAGAGGGAAGGGGCTAAAAAAATCCTTTCATTGTATTAACATAAATCACATCAGTAGTTGGCCATCAAGTCCAAGATAGAGTCCTCTTTTGCTGCTATTAGTCAGTAGTACAGAAGTAGTCCTGGTGCACCAGTCATCACTTAGCTGCTGGTTAAGTGAGGCATACAGCACAATACTAACATACGTTCGTGCTTCTCCACAGAACTGTCTCTAACAAGTATGTTTGATCAGTGAGGTACCAAAGCTCAACTAGAAAGAAAACTCTGTGATCATCTCCATGCCCTCTCATCATGATGAGGTCCTTGTAACAACTATATATTCTAAAAACTTTGTTAGAAAAAACTAAAAAAAAAATATATGGAAATGGAAAAAGAGAGGAATGCAGTAACTGAGGTAATGCAGTAAAGGATGGATGATGAGGGTGTGTTCAAATAGTAGGAATAATTGGGGATGAGCAAGAGTGGGTATGGAAAAGGCTGTAAGCCCCTCACTATCCATTTCTGCAAGTGCCAAAATCTCATGCATCTCTGTTCCCCTAGAAATTATGAGCCGCTCTTCTTGCACCCAGGTAAACTATCCCCTGCAAGACAGAATCTCAACAGAGTCTTGTGAAGGCAGTGAGCTATTACCACACATACAGCACATAGATAGCATGCTCTGGGCAAGTGCTGTAAGGAAGTCATACAAAGCTGACACTAGCTGGGGTATAGAAGTATTTATTTTTTCCATTTTTAATCAAGGAAATTAAGATGAACTATCAACTTACGTGATCTGGAAGATAACTAGATTCCACAGAGCACCCTTTAACTTTGCATTTATAAACATCTTTTGTTGTGAATTCTATGTGACTGCATAAGAATAACTCTTAGGAGGCAAGTGGTATGTTAAGATTTCAAAAGAACCAAATTGGTTTCCACTGACAAAAACTGAAGAAATTAACATGCAAGGAGTTTCTGGAGACTGACTAACAAAACAATATTGTCCTTCCCTCAGCTCCATACAAAATATTCAGAATATTAGTAAATCTCAAACATCAGCAACATTTAGTCCAGACAAGGCAACTTAGAAGACAGCTTGGAAAAACAAACACTACACTGTCTGCTCAAGGTGCCATCTGCAGAATATACAGTAACACTAAAATTTACATGCATTTTACACACACTTCATAAAAATATGAAACAAAACATCATCTAGTTTGTCCAAAGGCTCACCTTCAACTACTCTTTATAGTGTATGAAAAGACATCATAAAACTTGTAAGTATGGACCCTCACAGATAGATTTCTCTTTAGAAGTTCTTTCCTGATAATAAGCCCTAGTCTATGCTGCTGCCACACGAAAGATGACTTATCACTCACCTGCTTTCATTGGCCTCAATGCTAACTTACAGTAGCCAAAACCTCGCCTTCAAATATCCAGAAGAAAATCAAACTTTTTTTAAGCTCTGAAAGTAGAATAGGCAATGAAATAAGATGCAGACTGTTTATATATAAGTAAAAGCACTAAACAAATGTATGCATTGCATACACTGCGAAGTCAGACTTGATATAGCTACATCCAAAACCAAGAATCCTTGGTTCTAAGTAATGAGAAGACCAGATTCAGAGCAATGCTAAGCAGATCCTGGCAGCCCATTCAGGCAAGCCAGAGGTATTAGATGGGCTATGAAGCACAGAGGGATTCCTGCCAGAATTGATCACAGCTGTCTCTCCCAGTAGTGGGTAATCTTCAAACAGTTATGCCATTTTAGAAAGACTGTTTGACATGTTACTGCCCTATCTGTTCAGAG